AGTAGTTGTCAAACAGCTAACAGATCATCTGCAGAGGAATGGTTTATTTGAAGAGTTTCACTCAGGTTTCAGAGCTCATCACAGCACAGAAACAGCCTGCTAGACCTTAGTGCTGCATTTGATACTGTTGACCATAATATCCTATTAGAGTGATTAAAACATGCTGTAGGTATTACAGGTACTGCACTGCAGTGGTCAATTAGTTCCACAGTGTTCAGTGCTAGGACCAATTCTGTTTACATTATACATGCTTCCCTTAGGCAGCATCATTAGAAGACAAAAGCATACATTTTCACAGCTATGCAGATGACACCCAGCTCTATCTGTCCATGAAGCCAGATGACACACACTAATTAGTTAAACTGCAGGAATGTCTTAAAGACATAAAGACCTGGATGGCCGCTAACTTTCTGCTTCTTAATTCAGATAAAATTGAGGTCATTTTACTCGGCCCTGAAAATCTTAGAAATATTGTATCTAACCAGATTCTTACTCTGGATGGCATTACCTTGGCCTCCGGTAACACTGTGAGGAACCTTGGAGTCATTTTTGACCAGGACATGTCCTTCAATGCACATATTAAACAAATATGTAAGACTGCGTTCTTCCATTTGCGCAACATCTCTAAAATTAGAAATATCCTGTCTCAGAGTGATGCTGAAAAACTAGTTCATGCATTTATTACTTCCAGGCTGGACGACTGTAATTCATTATTATCAGGAAGTCCTAAAAATTCCCTGAAAAGAATAGAATAGAAAAATCCTTTAATTGTCTCACAGGGGGAAATTTGGGTGTAACAGCAGCAAGAAAAACACATATACAAACAAACAGTACACAAGACACAGAACAGAAACATACACAATTTTTTACATATTTACATGAAGGAAAGTCTTCAGTTAATCCAAAATGCTGCAGCAAGAGTACTGACAGGCCCTCATTGGCTTCCTGTTAAATCCAGAATTGAATTCAAAATCCTGCTCATCACATACAAGGTCGTAAATAATCAGGCCCCATCTTATCTTAATGACCATATCACCCCATTAGAGCACAGGATGATCCATGGCTTCCACCTCAGCTCTTTTTCCAAAAAGAAGAGTGCTGTCTGCTGCCGCTCATACAAGTCGACGTCAACTAGGTCCAGTTCGTGTCTTTGCAGCAGGTGTTGTTCTTCTGTCAGTGTACTGTGTGGAAACTGGAGAAAGAGGAACCAAATGCAGGACTTGCAGGCTGGTTAAGAATGAGCACGGTGCTTATAATAAAGACTGGATAAACTTAACTACAAGTCTAAGCTTTGTTTTATATTTTAATACTGTCATTTGTTTTACTTTGGTTGTTGTAAAGTTTTTCCCACATCATAACTGGAAAACTGTTCAATCGTACAGTCTGTTCCTGAAAACCTGGGCCTTCTTTGAAAGGCTGTTCCGTTTGAGCTCCATAACCAGTTTCTATAATACCTCGAAAGTATACTTTTCCAGTGGGTAGGTGAGGTTCAAAGTGTACATTAATCCAAACAGCATTGCAGCTGCTAGGGTATAGTTATCCAAATCCTGCAAGACTCTCTGGCCTTCAAGGACTATCCCAATGTCCTCAGGGCTGCCGCTGGCATCTCTTGATTTTATGATGTAAATTCCCATGGTTGTTTCCTTATTAGATCATTGGATAATGGCTTCATCTGTGGCCTAGAAAATGCAGAATTCCAAAATTTAATTCAACAGAACACTGGTTAAAGAACATTATACCAAATTTTATTTTAATCTGTGGGGAAGGAGCCTGAGTTGGTGCGTGAGGTTGAGAAGTACCGGCTAGATATAGTCAGGCTCACCTCTACACATGGCTTGGGCTCTGGAACCAGTCTCCTGGAGAGGGGCTGGACTCTGTCTCAGTCTGGAGTTGCCCCTGGTGAGGGGCGGCGGGCTGGAGTGGGTATTCTAATATCCCCTCGGCTTGCTCCCGGTACGTTGGGGTTTTTCCCGGTGGATGAGAGGGTTTGTTCCCTGCGCCTTAGGGTCGGGGAATGGGTCCTGACTGTCATCTGCGCTTATGCGCCGAGTGGTAGTTCAGAGTACCCAGCCTTCTTAGAGCCCCTGGTGTTGATGAGGTCCGCTCCGAGTTCCTGAAGGATCTGGACGTTGTAGGGCTGTCCTGGTTGACACGCCTCTACAATGTTGCGTGGAGATCAGGGCAGTACCCCTGGACTAGCAGACCGGAGGGTGTGTTCCAGCTACAGGGGGATCACACTCCTCAGCCTCCCTGGGAAAGTCTATGCCAGGGTGCTGGAAAGGAGAGTTTGTCTGCTAGTCGAACCTCGGATTCAGGAGGAAAAATGCGGTTTTCGTCCTGGTCGCGGAACACTGGACCAGCTCTTTATCCTCTCGAGGATACTTGAGGGTGCATGGGAGTTTGCCCAACCAGTCTACATGTGTTTTGTGGACTTGGAGAAGGCATTTGACCGTGTCCCTCAGGGTGTCCTGTGGGAGGTGCTGCGGGAGTATGGGGTGTCTGGCCCATTGCTACAGACCATTTGATCCCTATACAACCGTTGTAAGAGCTTGGTTCGCATTGCTGGGAATAAATCGGACTCGTTCCTGGTGGGTGATGGGCTCCGCCAGGGCTGCCCTTTGTCACCGATTCTGTTGATAATTTTTATGGACAGGATTTCTAGGCGCAACCAAGTGGTGAAGGGTTTTCGCTTTGGTGACCTCAGAATCTCATCTCTGCTTTTCGCGGATGATGTGGTTCTGTTGGCTTCATCGGGTGAGGGCCTCCAGCTCGCACTGGAACGGTTCGTAGCCGAGTGTGAAGCAGCGGGAATGAGGATCAGCACCTCCAAATCTGAGGCCATGGTTCTCAGCCGGAAAAGGGTGGAGTGCCTACTCCGGGTCGGGGATGAGTTCCTGCCCCAAGTGGAGGAGTTCAAGTATCTCGGGGTCTTGTTCGCGAGTGATGGGAGAAGGGAGCCGGAGATTGACAGACGGATTGGTGCGGCGGCGGGAGTGATGCGGACGCTGTACCGGTCTGTCGTGGTGAAAAGGGAGCTGAGTGTAAAAGCGACGATTTCAATTTACCGGTCGATCTATGTCCCTACCCTCACCTATGGCCACGAGCTGTGGGTAGTGACCGAAAGAACGAGATCGCGGATACAAGCGGCAGAAATGAGCTTCCTCAGAAGGGTAGCTGGCCTCTCCCTTAGAGATAGGGTGAGAAGTTCGGCCATCCGGGAGGGGCTCAGAGTAGAGCAGCTGCTGCTCCACATTGAAAGGAGCCAGCTGAGGTGGTTCGGGCATCTGACAAGGATGCCTCCTGGGCGCCTCCTGGGGTTGGTGTTCCGGGCATATTCCACCTGGAGGAGGCCCCTGGGCAGACCCAGGACACCCTAGAGAGATTACATCTCTCGGCTGGCCTGGGAACGCCTTTGTATTCCCCGGATAAGCTGGAGGAGGTGGCTGTGGGAGAGGGAGGTCTGGGCTTCTCTGCTTAGGCTGCTGCCCCCGCGACCTGGCCCCGGATAAAGCGGATGAAGATGGATGGATGGATGGATCTTTTATAAACATTTTAAGCTTCTTCAGTTTTCTGTCTTAAGACATTTCTGTTTGGTGCATTTTGCTTTTTACATGCATTTATTATGTATGGACACTCTATATATTTATGTTTTCTAATATATTGCTTTATTGGGCAGTTTGTGTTATATCATAATGTAAATATTCTAAGGAATTCATCATACACACTGACATCTTGTTTCTGATATATTTCACCCAGTTTTGATTTATTTAATCATTTTAAAAGCATTTATTGTTTCCTCTGTCCTTACTCGTCTGTGATCTTTATTTCTGTCCAAAATATTAATCTTGTAATTACCTTCACAGACTTTAAAAACTGGAAGATGGTCACTGATGTCACTACTGAGAAGTCCACTTAGTGCCTCATTTATAAACGTGTCTATGAGAGCTGCAGGATGTGATGTGGCTCTGCTACTTTTAGAGATCAGGTTCACACAGTATGTTGCTTTAATACCTGAAGATTAGGTTTCAACTGTTATACATTCAACACATCATCAATCACTGTTTAGTTTAATTCATATTTTACAGTTGGTCATCCAAGTACTTCAAATTTTTCCCAGTTTCTAATGGTACAGTACTTTTTTTTGGCTATCAGTTGTTTAAAAGTCTTTAGACATGAGATTTTTTTTAGTTTTTAAGAATAAGGGCGATCGTGGCTCAAGATTTGGCAGTTCGTCTTGTAATCGGAAGGTTGCCGTTTCGAGCCCCAGCTTGGACAGTTTTGGTCGTTGTGTCCTTGGGCAAGACACTTCACCTACCGCCTACTGGTGTTGGCCAGAGGGGCCGATGGCACGATATGGCAGCCTCGTTTCTGTCAGTCTGCCCCAGGGCAGCTGTGGCTACAACTGTAGCTGCCTCCACCAGTGTGTGAATGTGAGAGTGAATGAATAGTGGAATTGTACAGCGCTTTGAGATTCTCGAAAAGTGCTATATGCAATCCATTATTATTATTAATAAATTTAGCAGCAATCCAAAATACATACATGTATTTATTAGAATTAAATATAAAGATTGTCGTTATTCACTTTTCTTTTTCCTTTTTCTTTCTTTTTTTTGTTTACTTTTACAAAAGTAAAGAAGTAACAAACAAAGTTATGTCTTTGGAATATGACAAGTGAGTCAAACAGTGCTGCACATCCTCGCTGCAGGTGTGAAGAAGGAAACCTCAAAAAACGATGTAAATGTATGAAAATGTTTTGACAAAGCTTAAAATCCTACTGTCGGTTTTGTAAAATTTTAAGTTTAATTTCTACATTTAAATTCTAAATGACAGCAGAAAATTAATTCCTCAGGGCAGCAAACACATGTTACTAGAAGGAGTAACGCTTCTAATAACATGTTGTTTCTCCTCTGAGTTTAATTGTGAAAGTAAAAAAAAAGAACAAAAAAGAGTTTTATTTTGAAGAATCTCCAGGAAATTATCAGTGTTCCTCTGTTTAACTTAAGAGGATCAAACTTTTAGTGCAGCAGCAGCTGCGTGTTGTTGTTATCAGGACTTTAACTGGAGATGAAGATGTTGCTGCCACTCCTGCTCCTCGTACTCGGTAAGAGCGCTCTTTGAACGCAAACACAACGACACAACTGTTTCTGCTTTTAGACAACATAAAGTCTAACATGATTTCACTGGATGTAAACTGACTCTACTTGACTTTATTCCTTATAACCCCCTCTGGGACTTCATGCAGGGCGCTCACAGGGTTACAGCTGAGTTCATATCTGTTTAAGACGAACTGTCTGTGTGTTCCAGACGTCTGTTTCTTACTGATAGAACCACAAACCTGCCAGAGAGTAGTGACGTTTGACAAGGTTAACGACTGTGGCAAAAAAAAAGAAGAAAAAAAACTGTCCAATGATACAGATGAAAATTGGTTGTGTCACCAGTTGTGTGTAACATTGTCAGTGGTGACACTTCCATGTGTTGTAACACTGAGATGTCCATTTGCTAATAAACTGTTTTGTGTGTGTGTGTGTGTGTGTGTGTGTGTGTGTGTGTGTGTGTGTGTGTGTGTGTGTGTGTGAGTGACTGTGTTTCTGCCTCATTTGATGTTGTTGCATGGTGAGGTTATTTGTTAAAAATGAATGGACTGCGGTGTCGTTCTTAGCCCTGCAGGGCTAAGATCTTCTTGTGTCTGTGTTCATTTTCAACCAAATGTAGATATAAATAAGAGATGGTTTCCTCCTTTAACCTCAGTGTTGTTCAGTCATCCATCAGTTTTCTTTAACATCTTTGATGTCCTTTCAGTCAGTGTTTGTTGGAGAGGAAGAATCCATGTTTGAATACTTTTCATAAAACAAGGCTGAGAGTGACGTTACATATTCTGCAACTTTCTGAAACCACTTTATATTCGACTTTATAACAACCCAAGGAAAAAATCCACTGCATACACATAAGAAGTGTTTTTGTTGTGTGTGCTTGTGTCTCCTTCCAGTTTCCCAGCATGCCCTTGCTCCGGTAGTGGAGGTGTATGAGGGGGAAAAATCTGTCCTGTTGCCTTGCAAGTACTCAGGTTTTATACCTGAGGAAAATCCCACAGTGCTGTGGACTCGCAATGATCTCAACCCCAAATCTGTCCACCTACGACGAGAGGAAACAGATGATCTGAAAGGGCAAAACCAGCGTTACAGCGGGCGCACATCAATGAGGCCTGATGCTCTGGACACTTTAGACTTCAGCCTCACGCTGAGAAAACCCCAAATGACTGATAGTGGCAACTACACCTGCTCCATCGGAAATGAAAGGGCAGAACTGAAACTGACCGACGTACAGCTGCATGTCAAAGGTAAGAAACCCAAACAAACAAAAGAAAAACCACACCTTCTTTAATCACAAGTCAAAGATCACATGTCAAACTAAAGGTTGATAGAAAAGGAATTTCTTTTGTTGAAAACTGGAAAATGGCATTAACATTTTCCAGATGTAACCAGTCTGCAAACATCAAAATCTCACAGGTAGATTTTTTGGTGTTTCTACTAAATCTGGATGATTTGATTCAGGTTTTACATCCTGTATACGCAAGAAAACCTGCAGCTCACAGGCCTAATAGAGACCGATGTACAACATGTAACAGAGGATGTCATTTTAAGAAGATAAACTTGACCTCTGGAACTATGAATGACAGGATGATAAAGTGCTGCCAGCTGTTCTTTATTCCAGAAGAATCCACTTCCAATCAAGTAGCTTTCATTGATTCATTTATTGAACAGGAAGCAGGGTTATGCATTCATAATGTGAGTGTGGAGGTAGTGTGGTAAGGGGGTGTTATACAAGGGCCAACATGAGAAATTAGTGACGCTCCCTTAATGGCCTCAAGCTGCCACTTGTGGCACGTCTGGAGGAAAGGCAGATCATTTTGAATGTTGTGGATCCAAAACTTGGCACCGCCTCCATCTATGATGGCCCAGGAGCTCCGTTTCTGGGTAGATGACCTGAACGTACCTGCATCAGGCCGCTGCATCAACAACATGTTGGGAGGGACTGAATCAAAATCAGCTACGTTTGAGGGGACATAAACATAACCAGGGAATTGGAGTTGACGATGCCCTCTACTTTGTTAAGTATGGTCCTAAAGACTTCTTCAGTGACATGCTCCGAGATGGTGTAGAGCTGACTTGATGGAACAAATCTCCCGTTCCCACGAACCACCGTGTGGAGCGTATGGAGGGTTGAAATGGAGATGCTGGCTGGCCAACTGTTTTCAGAGCAGGGCCGAGATGCGATCCTCGACATGACGATGAACACCAGGTGCTGCCATCTGTACTGTGTATGTACCACATGTAGTGAAATGTATATAAAATTTGAATAGACACTGAGGAGTGGAGGCCTAGTGTAGGAGAGCTTTGGCTGGACCCTGCAGAATCCAAGTCGGTACAGTACAGCTGGTGCTCTTCATGGATCCAGATGTGCAGGCTCCACTGGAGTCAGGAAATATGACCAATCATGATCGTGTATGTCTCTATCTTTATTTACACACGTTCTGTTGCTTGTCAAGACTATTTGTATGGATTTTATAGTGTCCAGTTTAGTTACCATTTTAAACAAAAAGAGAGAGAATCATGATATTTATATATTATTAATATGTATTTTTACTGGTAGCAGAGATCAGAGCACATCAATTCTCTCTTTACCATGAGTATAACTGCTGCTGCTTCTGATATTATGGTTCATTTTCCTCGTAGATCAGCAGGTGGAGGTGAAGGTGGAGGAAGGATCAGACTCTATCATCCTGCCCTGCAAAACAAAACAAAACATACCCGAGGCCACCAGAGTGGAGTGGACTCGCTCTGACCTCGGTCTCATGGTGGTCCGTGAGTATTCAAACCAAAGTGGCCAACTTATGACTCAGGATGAAGTTTATAGGGACCAAACAAAGATGAATGAAGACCTGCTGAGAACTGGAGACCTCAGTCTGACCCTGAAAAACCCCACAGAGAGAGACAGTGGAGGATACATCTGCACCATCTACAGGGAAAAAGACATCCTGAGACAGAAAGTAGTGCTGCAGGTCAAAGGTAAGTGCTGTACTTACAGGTCAGAGGTCAATGTTGTGGACACAGGTCAGAAAACTTTTCGTTTTCTTTTCATCACAGAACCATTTCCATCCTGGGCCAAAGCTCTCCTGGTTCTCCTGGTTCTTCTTCTAGTAGTATCTGTGGGTCTTATATTTCATTTCCGGCACTATTTCATGTCAGGTGAGTGTCTCCTCCTACACTACCCATAATGCCGATGGTTAGCAGGTGTCCTCTGGTGGCTCCTTGACTGCGGCTCACACAAACTTGTTCCAGAAGCTGAAAGAGTTGAGAGTTACAAACAGCTGATACTGAGAGCTGAAGAGAAACTTCCAGGTTTGTTCCAGAAGTCAGAAAACCTCCTTCAGACTCAGTCATTGATCAGTGAAACAGCTCCACAACATGACTTTACTAAACAGTGTGTGTGCTTCACTGCATTGATCTGACACAGAGGCTGCATGTGGACAAGCTGTTCTTCTTCTGTGGTGGTAAACAGCAGCTGACATGGAAACATGTGCTGACAGTAAATGTTGCAGCAGCTTCAGTAAATGTTCCTCCTTGAGTTGTGCTCAGTCATGTGGTGGAGAGCTTCAGATGTTCAGACACATGAGAGCTTCATGGTTTCTGTGCTGATGTGTGTGAGACATGGCTGACTGTGGAGGCTCAGTCTGTCTGTGCTTCTTCATCCAACACGTCTGCAGCATTAGTAAGGTAGTGAGTGCTTAATTAATCATTTATAAAGTAATACTCATCCTTAGTGTTTAGTTTATAAATAGATAGATATAAATTGATATCAATATAAATATAGAATCTTGATTAATAAGTCTGTTTTATACGTCTGATGAAAAAAGTATTTAAAAGCACATTTGTTTGCTTTAATACATGTTTTGTTAATACTTGTTTCATATTTCATATCATGGTTAATTCAGGCAGTTAACATTTATGTCTTTTGTTCTAGATGATCTAAAGTGAGAACTACTTTGGCTTTATAAAGAATTGCTTAATGAAAATGAAAGTGTTTCAAGACTCCAACAAGTCTTTACAACAGAAAAGCACAAAGAGAAACAGAACATCCAAATATTAACTGCCAGGTACAAACATCACCCACCTGAGGTTCACAGAATATTCAGCTTGTGCGAGTGGATTAAACTAAGAAGATCAGCTGAGCAGTTGGAGCCTCAGGACAGCTTAACTTAAATATACTGAAGCCTCTTCATTTAAAATAAACACAGTTTTCACAAATCCATAGTGTTTATTTGACATAACTTCACAAACACCACCAACAGATACCATGTATCCATCGTGTTACACTCATAATGCAGGGAAAAGTCTCTGGGAGGTTTCAGAGTTTGGGATTTCTTTAGTTCAGTCCTGAGGTTCAGCTGTCCTCTGGTTTGTGCTCTGTTAGCTTTAGTCAGACATGTCAACATCCAGCCTGCTTCAGTTCCAAAGCGCTGCTGAATTAAAAGAAATCGTGCTTTCACACAAGGGAACTCAGCTGAAATGAAGGAAGTAGTAAATAGTGTCCTCTTCATACACGATGACAACTCTGAGCAGCTTCTTGGGGTCGAGGTGATCAGGAGGAGAGATGGTTCTCCATCATCAAGGAGAATCCCAAATCAATGTGCATTTCCATGATATCTTAAAACCCCATCCTGTAAAACAGGGATGTTACTGTTCCTCCTGCTCTGATGTGCTTCTGTCCTTCAGCTTTATCTAAAACTCTGAAAACCTGCTGCTGTCTGTATTTGTTGTTCTTTCAGTGATTCCAGTGAAGGTGGAGGTGGAGGATAGGGAAACATCTGTCACGCTGCCCTTCAAAACCACAAAAATCCTGTTGGACGGAATTCAAGTGATATGGGAACGTTACGAGCCGTTCCAGAAGGCTCACGTGTTTACGAACGGCCAAAACCAATATGAAGAACAGCACAAGGTTTACGAAGGCCGAACTGTGATGAATGACAAACCGCTGGAAACTGGAGACCTCAGTCTGACCCTGAAATACCCCACAGATGCTGACAGTGGAGAGTACAAGTGTTTGGTCTGGAGGAAGGGAACCTTCATCAGAAAGAAAACTGTGCTGCTCAAAGTCAAAGGTGGGTTTGTCTGTACAGCTGTCATATTAGAAATAGAAGAAGCTCTGATTTTGGTGCCAAAATAAATCTATGAAGTTATGAATTCACAGCTCATGTTGTGTTTGTTGTCTTCTTAGTCTGTCAGGTGCAGTTTAAGGTGGGGGCGGAGTCTCTCCAGCTGCCCTTCATAACCACAGAAAACCTGCCTGAAGATACTAAAGTGGAGTGGAAACACAAAGAGCCTGAACCATCACTGAATGTCAACGTGTATAAGAACGGCTCTGACCAGCATGAAGAACAGCACGAGGTTTACGAAGGCCGAACTGTGATGAATAAAGAACCGCTGGAAACTGGAGACCTCAGTCTGACCCTGAAACAGCCCACAGTTGATGACAGTGGAGAGTACAAGTGTTTGGTCTGGAGGAAGGGAAACTTAATCAGAAAGAAAACTGTGCTGCTCAGAGTCAAAGGTTGATTTATCTGTAGAAGTAGAAGAAGCTCTGATTTTGGTGCCAAAATAAATCTATGAAGTTATGAATTCACAGCTCATGTTGTGTTTGTTGTCCTCTCAGTCTCTCAGGTGCAGTTCTTGATGCGGGCGGAGTCTGTCCAGCTGCCCTTCATAACCACACAAAACCTGCCTAAAGATGCTGAGGTGAGGTGGATACGTGAAGAATCAGGTCCATCAGTGATGGTCCACGTGTATAAGAAACCCTCAGACCAGCCTAAAGAAGAGGACCAGGTTTACAAAGACCAAACAGAGATGAAAGAAGACCCTCTGAAAACTGGAGAGACAGTGGGAGGAAGGGAAACTTCATCAGACAAAAATGGTAGGTTTGTTTATTTGTTGTTTATTGGCTTGTGCTATTGTGTCTGACTGTCTTGTGTCTCCTCTGCAGGGAGAGTTCAGGTCCAGGATCAAACGGGACATCAGGAACAGAAGCAGCTCCATTGATCCAACTCCTCTGATGGCTGATCAATCAGTTTGATCTGTGTGTGACCAGTGCTGTGAGTCAAACAGCATGATCACAGGACCATAGTAATGCTTTTTGTTCTCATTTAATTTGCCTTTTTTTTAAATTGTAAATTTGGTTTTAATGTAAAATATTATAATAATTATTATTCTATGAGTTCAACCTCTGTCACTCTGACCTTTGAACTTTTTCTGCATTTTGTGGTTTGGCTGTTTCAGCGTTGTAACACAGAAACGCAGATTCTATTTTAAGTCCAGTTTCCTGTTGTTGGTGTTCAGATGTGATGCAGCCTCCTCCACCCATCCTGTTTCCTTATCAGGACCCCCCTCCCCCCCTTCACTTTAGTGCTCCAGTCAAAACTGATCGGTCGGCTCTTAAATTAGCATAACAAACATTTTTCACCACCAAATACAGTTCAGTGGGTCGTCAGTAGGTCGTTCAGGCAATGGGGGGGCATTTCCTATGGTTTGACCGGGAACACCACAGATGTAAAACGTTGATTAAAACACTCAAAATTCAGTGAAATAGGTGCTCATCACTTTTATGTTCAAGTGCATAGTGGGGAGGATGTCATAAGACCTCGAGCCAATCGGATGGAAAACACAATATTTATGAGTGTTTTAAGTTGTAAATTGGATTCGACCTGAACATGACAGGAAGGTTACTCATCTTTCTTCTCTGGACTGTTGGATAGAGCCGCGTGACCTGCACAGAGACTACACATGGAAATGAGCAGCAGAGCTCAAATCTGTCAGCTTTCCATCTGCTTTTTTAGATTGGTTATTATCTGTTAACACCAGTGTTGGTCAAGTTACTTGAAAAAAGTAATCAGTAACTAATTACTGATTACTTCCCCCAAAAAGTAATCCCGTTACTTTACTGATTACTTATTTTCAAAAGTAATTAATTACTTAGTTACTTAGTTACTTTTTAAAAACACGAGTTACAACCTGAAGAGGTGATAAAGTGATAGATCTTTCAGCCCAATTCTACTTTTTCTGCATAATCCATCATACAAAATGTAATCAAATGGAAAAGTCTCTTTTTAAAACTTGTTTTATTAGTTTTAATCTTTTAACTTTATGCATCAAGCAAACATTTAATTATATGCAACATTCTCTGACTTGAATAAATTAGTTTAACATTCAAACCTATTTTCTGCACATTCCAGCACATAAAATAAAATATTTTTTGTGTTTACACTCACTCTTTCAAATAGATGCAAGTAAAACACAGCAGACAAATAAAGTCAAAGACTCAGCGGTCCTGTTGCTCTATTTTCACCGGAAAAGCAGGACTACGATAGGCGGAGGTTTACCCTAGTGCAGGTGTGCCGCGGTCAGTGGAAGAATCCACGAGTTTCTCTGTGCTTGCTTGGAAGTTTAGGGGTTTTTTTCGCTGTAAAAAGAAGTTTTCTTCCCACGCACAGCGGACACTAATGTTTTTGTCACTTTTTATGGAATCAAACTCAAAGTAAGGTCAGTACTTCCACGCTTTAAACGCTGCACGCTCATACTCTCTCTCACAATCGATATGTGATCCATTGTTGCTCTGCACACAGCTGTTGTCACGAACGTCGCACTCGCTTACGTCACTGTCGTGAGACATTCTCGCAAAAAATCACAGTTTTAGTAACGCAGTAACGCAGCGTTCCTACAGGAAAGTAACGGTAATCTAATTACCGTTTTTGCAATAGTAATCCCTTACTTTACTCGTTACTTGAAAAAGGTAATCAGATTACAGTAACGCGTTACAAGTAATGCGTTACTGCCCATCTCTGGTTAACACACAAAATAAAAACAGCTGGCTGACCTTTAATCTAATCCTTGTTGTTCTTCTTCTGTGGTGTTTGTGATGGAGCAGCCGGTCCTGATGTGTTTGATGAAGCCAGGGTTCCTGCTGCTTCAGCAAAGTTTCAGTTTTTTAACAATTTAACAACAGCAAAATACACAAGATTCAAAACTGGTGATGCAAAGAGCTGAATTTCTTTTATTTAACATGTAAAATTTTAGAAAGCTGAATTTAAGCTTGCTTACTTAGAAAGAAATAAACTGAAGTAGTCCACAAATTAGTCTCTACTGTTTATGATAATTATATTTTAATGAGAGATACAGAACATCACATAAAACTATAAGTTGGTTTTTGTAATGGAAGATTTTATATGTGTGTGTGTGTGTGTTATTGTCATTTAAAGTGTTTATGTGCTCAGTTGTGACACTGAACAGTCAACAACTAGCTGAACTTACTTTGACCTCGACATTTGAAGAAAACAACTGCTTTTTCTACGTTATGAGTTTCTTAAAGTCATTTGAAACTGCGACATCTGTTTTGAACATGCTGGGGTGAAGACCGCAGAGCCTGAGAAGAGGAAGTAAGTAGCTGATGTTATGGGAGGATAAGTCGGTGCCGCCACGCCTCGAGAGCTCAGAGCTCGCATGAGTGTGTTAACCGTCTGTTTCCTCTCCCATGCACATGGTCATATAGGCGTTTGTTACAGCTAACCGTGTCTGCAGACTTTGTTAATCTAAATTTCATCACAGTTTGTGTGTCAGTTCTTCTCAGAGAGTCTGCAGGACAGTTTGGTCTGGAAGCTCCTCCTGTGTCCTCGAGGATCAGAGTGTAAAATGACAAGTTTTGTGCCAGTGAACAAACACCTGCTGAACTTTGATAAAAACCTGATAACGTTGCCCCTCTGAGATCTCCATCATCAGCAGGCAAACAGTGAGATCAGCTCTGAGCTGCTCTGTGAACACAGACCACAATTTGTGCTTTAGACTGTTTGAAACTCCAGCATTCAAACAGTGGCGGATCTCGAAAATGTTACATGCGAGGGCCAGAAGAGGGGGATCAGGTCTATGCAGGATGGCACATTCCTCTCCACTGAAGTATGTGGAAACCCCCTATACACAAATGGAGTACATTTGTGCACAGTAACTGAAAACTCTTCAATATGAGAAGAAGGGAAAGCAACACCAGAAACAGCACACAGTAGACATAACTACCAAAATAAAATGTTACAACAGCAGAGAATACCTGACATGAAATTAGGGCGCACAGGAGGGCAGGAAAACCGGAAGCCCAGGGAATCAAAATGAAAGTAAAACTAAGAAACTCTGACAATAAAACTAAAACAGGAGATAAATCAAATACCAAACTCACAATGACACAAACTATGAACACTGTGCAAAAATACAGCAATCAAAGGCTTGTTTATTCACTTAATTAACCATTAAGTAAACCGTGTTCGCTATAACCTGCATGTATACCAACCAACTACATTTAATTTGACCAGATTATGATAAATGTAACATTTTACAGTGTACTTATGTAACAAAATACATGGAAAATTTCCCTGTAATTAATTTAGTTAAAGTCAGAATTTTAGGCATGACCTTTTTGGAGGTCCAAACTCAAACTATGAAATAACAGTGAGGACAGTTCATCATATTATTATATTAATAATTTTTCTTTTAGTTAATTATTTATTCATTTTTATTATTTTACACACACACACATCCATCATTTATACAGCTTCTAAACTTACTGTCAGTTTTGCAAAACTAAAACTGTAATTAGGTCAGGTTACATTAATATAAACCCACGTGCATCAACCACGTGTTCCTGAAAGCAGCTCGCTGTCTGCAGTCTCTCTGTGCGCCCTGCTGCTTCTCCTCACTTTCATGTTTGGAGTTCTGCAGAAGGATTTTATTTTGAAGGCTCTGACAGGAAGTTGTGAGGTGTCTCTGTGTAACTTCAGAGGAGGAAACTTTGTTCAGTGCGTCAGGGGTGCTGTGATCGAGCTGTGTGCGCCTGTTTCTCAGAGTTAACGGGACAGCGGAGAGGAAGATGCTGCTGTGGCTCGTGCTGCAGGTCCTCGGTAAGAAAGTACACACGCAGACTGACACACACACAGTGTGTAACACGAGCTGACTGCATTAGGCCCCTCTGTGTAGTTACTGTGGTCCCTACATGCGATATTCATGCGGGGCGGGTCTCACCGTGACAGCTGAGCTCATCATCCTGATATCTGCGCGTGTCTGTTTAAGAAGTGCGTCAGCGCTCGTGTGCGTGTGATTCACGGCAGGAATAAAAGTACTTTGTCTAAAAACTGAAAGCTTGTCTCACATTATTAAAAGCCCCGTTTACCATAGAAAGCACTTTAATGTGTCAAAAATGGTTTTTGTTCACAATAACGCCACGTGCACAATCATCTATGTTCAAGTTCACTGATTAATAAAGTTATAACAATCCTAAAACAACAAATAGACATTTTTCTTTTTTTTAATTCAACACCAGATGTTACTCTGTGTTTATACATTTTTAATGCTTAGTCTCAGAATAACTTGTGTCCTGAATTGCCCCCTTATAGAAATCCCCCTGAACAGGTCCCCTCCCTGGTCCTCTGGTCACATGACTTACAGTAAGGTCCACAGTAGAGATGGTCTTTTTTGTTTTTCATACATTAGAATGTCTCACTGTGACTGTTACTGTACAAACTGATAGCTTTGTATGTTTGGTGTTCATTTCATGTCAGGAGATAGAACAAATGTGAAAACTAGGAAATATTAATGCATTATAATATTTTTATTACATTTAAGAAGTGTTATATATGCTGGTGGTACCAGGACAAACGTCAGTAAAGGTGTCCATGTAAAAGTGTGTTTAGATGTCGAGGTCAGGTGGTACAGCTGCAGAAGTGTCACTTCATGAAATCAGTATGTTCTTAAAAGCTTTAGCAATATTACGTTTCTCAAACTGTTTTTAACGGCTGTTATTATGGTTGTTATTTTTATTTCATGGGGTTGAAAAAACTGGCATGAAAAATGTTTCATCTGCTTAATGAGAACTTCCTTCTTTTCTAAGCCCGACACATGAAAACAAATCAAAATTGGTTTAGTACGCACGTATTCACAGTTGTGATGTCACCCCTGCTTGTTTATTAACACGTTCTTCGTTTGCAGATTACAGTCAAGGATTAAAAGCACTTCATTCGTAACAGAGACTAGTCTCAGAAAGTTTCACCTCCGTGTTTTTCAGACGTGCATCAAAGTTTTCTTTGATGTTTTTAAAGCATCCTTCGAGTTACTTTTTGTTGGATGGGAAGAATTCATGTTTGAGTACTTAGCAGAAAACGTGGCTTCTGAAACCACTTTTCCCACGATGTGAACCACTAGAAAAATCCACAGCATACAGGTGATTAGTGTTTTTTGTTGTGTGTGCTTGTGTCTCCTTCCAGTTTCCCAGCATGCCCTGGCTGTGGTGGTGGAGGTGTATGAGGGGGCAAAGTCTGTCCAGCTGACGTGTCAGTACGTAGGTCTTATACTTACAAACCCCACAGTGCTGTGGACTCGCAATGATCTCGACCCAAAATCTGTCCACGTGAGACGAGAGGAAACAAATGATGTAACAGGACAAAATCAGCGTTACAGCGGGCGCACATCAGTGAGGCCTGATGCTCTGGACTCTTTAGACTTCAGCCTCACTCTGAGAAACCCTCAAATGACTGATAGTGGCAACTACACCTGCTCCATCAGAAATGAATGGGCAGAACTGAAACTGACCGACGTACATCTGCATGTCAAAGGTAAGAAACACAAACAAACAAAAAGAAAAATGTCAAACTAAGGTTGATAGAAAAGGAATTTCTTTTGTTGAAAACTGGAAAATGGCATTAACATTTTCCAGATGTAATCAGTCTGCAAACATCAAAATCTCACAGGTAGATGTTTGGTGTTTCTACTAAATCTGGATGATTTGATTCAGAAGGTTTTACATCCTGTATACGCAGGAAAACCTGCAGCTCACAGGTCTAATAGAGATCGATGTACAACATGTAACAGAGGATGTCATTTTAAGAAGATAAAC